AGGCAACAACACTACACGCGTTTCGGTTAGGTCGACTGAAATGTCACTTGAGCATGAAGCACTAAAAACAGAAATGACTATTTTTAAAAGGTTTTTCCTTGAAAAAAAAACCCAAAAAAAAAAAATACTTAGGATTTACCTGTGACTTGACATTTCGTTGAGCTTTACTACAGTTGTTGGGATCAAAGATCAAATTACAAAGCAACAACAACATTACACTACAAAAAAGAATAAATTATTGGTTTTGTTTTTTTTTTTTTTTTTAACATACTATTTATATGAAAAAACTTGGTACTCATGCAATCCACCCACCCCAGAATTAAAAAGAAGCCCCTCAACCACTAGGTTGAAAGGAAGGGCGGCATTAAAGAACTATTAACCTACGTTACCTTGTGGTTAAGATGTCGCAAATGCACGCAGTGGCTGATGATTTCGATGCATCTGAATTGAAATTCTCTAAAGGTATTTTCCTATTTGAATTAAACATCTTCCAGATTTTGAGAATGCCGATACACTTATGCTTGCTGAAGTTAAAATATTGTTGGAACATAGGTTTGTCTTAGTTTTACTCGTTTGGTAATAGACTTGATTATTTGGTATGATGTTACATTACTTCGCAGTTTTTCTCACCTTAGAAATGGTTTATCATCGAAACATATTGCATTTTATTTTGGTTACGCAAATGAGCATACGTAAACATGTGGTTTTTCAAAATTCATTGGTACTCATTTCGGTCCAGACCACAGATTGTATTTTCAGTAGGTCGTTTTGAAAGATCTGTCTGAATTAATTGATATTTGACAACTTTGTGGGAAACATATGTACAAAGACATTTAGTGAGCTTTTGACAAGGTACCCAAGCTGCCAGCTTTGAGGAAATATATACTTCTTAGAATGTAAGCCTCAGAGTGGTTCTCAAGAGGCATGAATTCCTAGACTAACGGTGGTGACTGGGATAGCATATCGAACTACAAAGTGTTAACGCTCAAGGCTTGAAGATTTTATCAGTCCTTGGGTTTCTATTCACTAGTCACTCAGATAACAGCCATTGTATAGTCTAAACAGAAAGATAGTTGTGTTTTCTTCTGAAATCCTCTTAAATCTTTATAAGACTATTAATTATTATCAGACGTGTTGCCGATCATCTCTGCAACTTAGTATTCTACTGCCCCATGTATTTTATTCATCTACAAAATTATCGACCTGCAGGGAAAGTTCTTATTGATAAGCATTTTTAATTTCGTATTACTACAGGTGACTGTCTAACTTAGGTCCTCACCAAAACTCAATTTCTAAGTTTTGGGGATACCTAAACTGATTATAAACAAGAAAATTTCATGCACCGTTACATGTACAGGGGGGAGGTAACTTCCTGATATTTCTTCTTGAGAGGTATGAAGAGGGAACTGGGCTAGTAGTGGTTGTGTAGGTCTGTTGGCTTGACCACAGGGCCTAACAGACTTTTTGATGCTGATCTTACAGTCTTCATATGGATGAGTTAGAAACGTGTTAAATCCGTTCTTAAAAAGGCCTTAACGCATTAGATAGAAATCCTTTAGATAACGTGACATGACATTTTTATATCTGACATTTCATAACCCCTTCCATCCGTTGTGAGGAGATGGCACCACTGAAAAAATCGGTTGTCTAAGGAACACAATTTGCTTCCATCACAGTTCAAGACATTCAGCAGTACGACTTCATAGTCTCACCACAGGTCTGCTGCTTTTATTCTTATTCCCCTCCAATTAACCTACCTGGCATGCTAGGACCTAAAAAACAAGTTTTTCAACTAATATAGCTCGGTCGGATCATCATGATTGGCAAGCCCAACCACTGTGTTTAAGTAGAAACTGGGGTCGATAGTTTTCTTTAATTTTTTTGTTTTCTAGAGTCTTATTTTCGATGCAGTCTTTCCTATTACCACCAAACATTTTAGTACTTCTCTAGGATCCACCCTAGGTTCTACGTTCCATTTAACTTCATTTATTATTTAAACATATAGATATTGGTACAAGGAGGCACCAAATACATATGCGCCAGACAAATCTCATTTGATATGTGTGTGGGCTGTGATACTGCTTGGGTGCCAAAACCGAAGCAGGTGGTTTTCCTAGGGGCCACACCCCGAGGCTTTGACCTAAGGGTCTGGTCCACAAGCCAGTGGAGCATCGTGAGGAGGTGCAGTCCCATGGTAGCCGGTGACCAACGATTGGTTCATACGTCATTTGTTCCTTCAGGATACTGGAGCCCATGTGCACCATTGGTTTGGAATGAGGGTTTTCCAAATCCCTTAGATGGACTCTCCATATCCACCAACTAGGTTAAAGCTCCAGACATTCGCTTTTCGTCTTCTCAATTTCGTAATCAACACTTGTGGTGCTAGAAGGCAGTGAGTAGAACTTCTCTGGTAGTGGTTTTATGCACGTGGCCGTGTGACAGCATTTGGAGAGAGAGAGTTGACTCTCTCTATCCTCGGTCGTACCAGGGCATTTAGGGGCAATAAAATATCCTAATATTAATATTATCTGAAAGAATCATTGTATAATGTGTAAACTACTAAAGCTATAACTAAAAATAAGTTAATTTTTAATGTTTTACTTTTAAACTAAACAGAAAAGAACAAAATGAAAATGCAACAATCCATGAACTTGAATTATCACCAGTATTTACAAAAACATTAAATTATGTAACACAATTTTCTAAATTTAATAATCGTGAAACAATTGAAAGTGTACGAAAGTAAGTTAAATAAAAAAAGTGTTTATTATTGATAAATTTTATTATTTTTTTCAGCCTTTTAACACAAAAACGATTTCATAATTTTGAATTAGCTTCATTAGCTAATTTATTACCGGATACAGCAGAAGAAAGTAAAGCATTATTACCAAGTTTAGATAGTCCACGTTTACAGAAGAAGAATTACAACAATTATTAGATGAAATACAATCTAAACGAAGTTTTCAATCATAAACTAATGAGTATATGGAATATTTGTTTATTTTTTTTCTTATTTTATTTATGTTCATACTAATTTGTACAAAAAATATTAATTATAAATAAGTCTCTTATTTTCTCTTCATTGTATCATCTGAATGGGTAGCTAAGCCACATGAATGGAGTAGATTCTCATTAACATATTTCTGCGTAAGGTAAGGATACTGCATTGGGTGTTCAAATTGAAGGAAATAACTTTTTCAGGAGTTCATTCATTAAACCTTCCACTCAAGAAGGAGGGTGATGGCTGAGTACACAAAGCAGTGAGATATACGTCCATTGCGACCAAAATGGCTTCAGAAGCAAATGAATTCCAATGGTCAAATAAGATCACAGGATAGATAGACATCATCCTCGATTGCGAAACATTTGATTGAGACTAGTCATAAAGTTGACATCAAATCAGTATTGTAGTGTTATACAAAAGCCTTCAAGGACTTGAACTAAGGTTTATTGAAGCCTTGGTTATACAGAAACTGAAATACTCTTTGTGCGTTCAAAACCAATTTGTCCTTACCCTGATAATACTGATTTATTATCCAGAGTGGTGACCACATTATGTTTGTGTAGCTTATTATTATCATATTTTCTTTGTTACGACTTATCTCTAATCTGTCTAGTTGACCTTTTAATTTTCATACAAAGATGTCTTAACAAGTATATGTGTGATCAGATTGTTCGAAATGTATTGAGCAAATATATCACATAATTCTGATAAACTTCGTCTTATAATTGCATTATCGCAATTGACCAAATTAAATTTCTACGGCATTCGTCCACTCAGTGTCCCGAAGGCAATGCACAATACTGGTTCGGAATCAGGACTGATATGTTTGGGTACTTTTGTGGCACCGTTACCGCTGAAATTTGTATTTCATAAAAGACTTAAAGAAAAACTATCCCACCTCTTTGATTTGACGTTCAGTCATATTGACATAAATAACTTCGTGCCTGAGGAAACGGGTACTAAGTAAAGATGGCAAATCAATTGATGAAGTAGTGGGACCTTATCAATTGAGATGGCTGGGACATGTGTCACGTATGCCCAACCACCGACTTGCGATGTCTTGTGGTGTAGGGGTAGATTGGAAGAAAGGGGCGGCCAGAACAAAACATGGCATAAAGTCACTGGCAAGTGGATTGAGCCATGTTGGTAGATCTACACCTACTACCTGGTTGGGATCCACGAAATGACAGCAATCGATGGTTACAGACCTTAAATGTGACGTAGCTCAAAATCGTTTACAATGGAGCAGGTGCATCTACTCTTTGTGCTCTCTCAAATTCCAATCTTCTGAATCCACATCCCTTATTTTTTTCTCTTTCTAAATTTATATCACTGGATTACATTCCTCGAATAACATCTCCAAACCTTAATCTTCCCGATTACTGCTTACACTCTTACTACTTCTACCACTATGGGATTTTAGTCGACAACTGCATTTCTGTGCTAATGTGATATGGCAATTCGGACTGATGTACGTACGTACGAAGTTTTACATTGTTACTGACTGACTGATCTAGGTGTTAAGAGCCAATGATACTACCTGGTTAGGTAAATAAAACGGTCAAAGTGATAGCGGAACGGATTTCTAAACACGATACATTTTGACTTTGATATAATATGAATTATACGATAATATAATCTTATTTTAGAAATATTATACACAAATATATATATCATAATATGAGAAATTGTACAAAGAGAGGAGTAATGTAGATTTTGTTCGCCTAGTTCTTTTTTTCTCCTTAATAAACATCAAGGATGGTGTGTAAATGACAAAGTATACGGATAAGACATATGTGATTATAATAATAATAATAATAGTTAAGATGATCATTGTAATAATAGTTAAATACCAATAAAGAATTCATAGTATTAATAATGATAATAATAAGTATATGAATAGATAGGTATGAGAAAATATACATCAATATCTTTGAAGGAGAAGTACAAAAGAGAAAATACAAACAGACAGACATACACACACACTTTCTATTGTTTATGTTGTTTGACTTTCAGTAACAACACATTTATCATTTGATGTTTTCATAGTTTCTAAGAATTCTAAAGGTAAATCAACATTGGAACAAGGTAAATCAGAAGCTTCAGTACTATTTGGACTAGAAACAACACTTTGATCTGATTCTATAGGATGTATTGACTCTTCCATATTATCACTTGTTGTTGTTGCTGCCGCTTCACATGTACTACGATGTGATTCAAATCTATGAAAGGAATGCAGAAAAAGGAGTCAAGTTATATCTGTATATTAAATGAAAGCTAGAATTATCTAAACCTAATTATATATGATAACTTTACACAGTGATTAGATATATATTTGTGATATCTGATCACAGGTTTAAATAATATAGAGGAAGAAGGTAGAATAGTTATTTCAATCAAAACAGATCTGATTATGTCATTCATGTGATTCTGTGTGAAACGACAACATGATGGTGGATCTGAATAATGTGCAGCTTGTAATATGAATGAGTAGAGTTGAGATTTATGTGTATGAAATGGGTAAAGTTAAGTGTGGTTGTTTGGATAAATGCTCAGGTAAGGAAATTTGGCATGATATAAAATGCTCCAGCTACTTACTTTTCTTCACACAATTTAGTGTATACCACACAACCAGTGATAGTCCCGAAACACTGTATAGCTGTTGGTATACATCCTAGCACGAAACAAATATCACGGTAATGATCGATGATCACGTCTTCATGGCTGAGGAATATAAACTGTTGGATCTAAACTCAATGGTTTGAAGGTCCTAGGTTTGATCCTCAGTGGGCTTGGTATGTATTATTGAGGAGTCCCAGCTGCTTAGAACACCCAGGTTTCGCATAGTTTTTTTAGCTCAAGTATTCTATACTACGAAAAATGCAAAATTATTCGAATCTGTAGAAATTCAATAGATAAGGACTGCTGCAAAAGGTGAGAATGTTAATGGTTACTCATATATCGCTAGTATGTTTTACAGCGAAACATGTATATACACGGTACAAGACTAACAGCTCTAGATATAAGTGAATCCGGACGTCGTACTATTAAACAACCAAATTATTAATAAAATCAACTGGAAGTCATATTAAGCAGTTCAAAATTACTTGAGGAAGTTAGTCAAACCAGGTCTTTGCAGCATGAAATCGAATAAAAGATAACAGAATATTATCTAAGGGCAACCATACCATGAGGCAGTCCAGTTATGTGTTACATGATGAACACAGGTTTCGAAAGTGGAAAACGTGTAGGTCACAAGTATTTAATATAAGAATATTGAAACATTTAGTGGATTCATCCAATCACTCCATCAAATCTCCTATACAATTCTTGAATAACGTTAAGGAGTTTCAAATCAACAACAAAGAACTGATGCTACCCTTCAATGTAACGAAGCATAACACAGCAAACTCTCTATCACTGCTTCTTCCTCATCAACGACACAAATCTATCTAAGTGAACAAAGCTTCAAGTATAAGCTTAATAGGACTCATCGATTTAGGAAGGTTTAACAATATACTTCCAATTAAACAATAAAATCTACGAACAAACGAGAGGGACACCAATCGGATCACTAATATCAGGACATACTGCAGAAGTAATGATGCAAAGACTGGAATCTCCCATCTTACCAATGATCAAGCCAAAAACATGAATTCATTTTGTCGACAACACATTCGTCAGAGTCGAAAAAGAAGAGCTGAAAAACACCTACATCTCAGCAACAATATCTTCCATGACATAATAACTCACAATGGAGAACGAGTCGAACAACAAGTTATAATTCTTCCATGTACCAATCACCAGAACCGACACAGAAAGTTCGGAGACTCAAGTATATCGGATACCAACCCACACCGATCAAATTCTCAATTACAGTAACAAAAAACCAAGAACTAATTAAATCAACTGCCCACAAACTTCATCCAGGAGGGTGAGAACACAATGCAGCAATGAAAAATCGAGAAAAATATCTAATGAATACCCTTCAAAAGAATGGCTACCCATATAGCTTCATCAAGAATATCAACCCGATACATCAGCAGAAACGAAATCAAGTACACTAATAAATAAACGGATCATCTTACCACATATAAAAGACACATCAAGAATTACAATGAGATTATTCAAGCCGTTTGGAATATGTGTAGCACACAGATCAGCAAAATCACTCCAATTAATCCTATGAAAACCAAAGTATAAAATGAAAAAAGAAAAACCGAACATCATCTACAAAACAAACTGTTCCGACTGCGGAAAACACTACATCGAATAAACTGAACCACATCCCTTCATCTTCGTCTGAATGAACATCAATTACCGGTCAAACTCCATGACATTTCCTCACTTAAATTAATGCACATAAACAACTGCGGACACATATTCGACCGGGAAAATGTTGAGATCTCTGATGGAAGCAATTATAAAAACACCGGAAAATCTTTAGAAGCTTGGCACTCAGAACAATCGGAAATAAAAAAACACACTGAAATTGATCCGATTTATCAACCAATCAGGAAAATTATGGACAAACATAGGAACGAAAATCAAACCAATAGGAGATACAACCAAAAAACTAAGTAAACAATGACAGGTTTAATGTCAACAAGAACCAGTCAACCTCGAGGTCTACGGGACAAACTGTGAACCACATATGGAGAAATTCGAACACTTCACTTCTACCTGGAATTTATGTTGATGATGTCGTTCAGAAGAACGATGAAAGCTCCACAACCAAACCATCCAGCTCAGAGGACAAAACTCTACCTAAATACTGCGATGCATATTATTTAGCATTATATGATTGAAGACAATCGGTAAAAGACGTTATATCTATGTTTTTACTAGTTGACAGTCATATGCGATATGCATCTATAGTCTTGAAAGAACTGATGTCTCCTAACTGAAAGATAGCCCATAAGCAACCTAGAATATGATGCATATGTGCATCAGTTCCAATCACCATCACATCATAATATCAGCAAAACAAGATGAAATTATGAAGATAAATCCCAGAATAGTATAAGTAATGGATAACATTCTGCAAGAAGAATAGGATTCGTTAAAAAATTGAACTCGCAGTTTTAAAAGTAAGGATAAAAAGTGGATTTATCTGGGCTATTGCAATGAATTTCGGGCTATATCACCCAACGTTTACAATCACTAATAACAATAATCCCATGAAATTCAATACAGTACGTTTATACATGCCTACGAGGTTCAGTTACCTTTAGATAAGAGCTTCAAAAGGAAGATAGCAATCTGTATTAAATGAGACTCTAAATGCCCTGGTACGACCGAGGGTGGGGAGAGTCAGATCTCCCTCTCGAAATGCTCTCACATGGCCACGCGTATACAGCAACTGTCAGGGAAGTCCTACTCTGCCTTCTCAAGGCGGGGGTGTTGTTTACGAAATTGAGAGGACGAAGAGCGAGTATCCGACGCTTTAACCGGGTTGGTGGATATGGAGAGTCCACCTAGGGAAGTTGGAAAACCCTCATTATAAACCAATGGTGCACATGGGCTCCAGTATCCCGAAGGAACAAGTGACGTATGAACCAATTGTTGGTCACCGACTACCATGGGACTGAATCTCCTGACGTCGCTCCACTGCCTTATGGATCAGACCTTTAGGTCGAAGGCTCCGGGTGTGACCGCCTAAGAAAGCCACCTCCTTCGGTCTGAGCGCACGGGCAGTATCACAGCCCACACACAAATCAAGTGACTTGTGTGGCGTATATGTATTCGATGCCCCTTTGTAGCAATAATTGTGTTCAAATAAATAAAGCATTAACTGGAAACACCAGTACTGATCATTTTTTGTCTCAAATTCTTGCAATTAAAAAGATTTCTAGACTAGAAAATATAAAAATCATTAATAATTAGATATGTATCAGAAGGGGTTTTGTGGATAATAAAGCCATTTAATAGTTGAATTCATAAGCCAATTGAAGCTAGACCACCATAGAAAAGTTGGAAGCACTGAACGGCCATTTCGTCCTATTGTGCAACTCCTTAGCAGTGTGCATCCACGATCCCAACTCGCGAGATTCCAACCTAGGACCTATCAGTCTCGCGTGCGAACTTTTAACCTTTAGACCACTGAACCATCCGGCATCCGACGGTGTTGTTGTTCAACTTCAACTGGTCCACGAAATTGAGCGACACATCCACCATTGTCATCAGTGAGTTACTAACTCACAACAGACCCGGTTGAACTCTACTATTCACTGCTCCTCACTAAAACTCCAGGAAATACCTCTTGAAGCCAGTCACTAATGAATATATGTTGATTAATATCAGAAGATTTGGAAGATGTAAAAACCTTTACATATTTGGGCAGCATCATTGATGAACAGGGTGGATCTGATGCAGATGTGAAGGCGCGGATCGGTAAAGCAAGAGCAGCATATTTACAACTGAGGAACATCTCGAACTCAAAGCAACTGTCAACCAACACCAAGGTCAGGATTTTCAATACAAATGTCAAGACAGTTCTACTGTATGGGGCGGAAACCTGGAGAACTACGAAAGCCATCATCCAGAAAATACAGGTGTTTATTAACAGTTGTCTACGAAAAATACTTCAGATCCGTTGGCCGGACACTATTAGCAACAACGTACTGTGGGAGAGAACATACCAGATCCCAGTGGAGGAAGAAATCAGGAAGAAGCGCTGGAAGTGGATAGGACACACATTGAGGAAAACACCCAACTGCGTCACAAGACAAGCCCTCACATGGAATCCTCAAGGTCAAAGGAAAAGTGGAAGACCAAAGAACACATTACGGGAAATGGAAATAGACATGAGAAAAATGAACAAGAATTGGATGGAACTAGAAAAGAAGGCGCAGGACAGAGTGGCTTGGAGAATGCTGGTCGGCGGCCTATGCTCCATTGGGGGTAACAGGCGTAAGTAAGTAATATCAGAAAGGGATTAGATAGCAACAACAACAACTACTACTACTACTACTGATTTACTTACCTAGTATGCACATTATCTCCAACAAATAAACGTGAACAATTAGGACAACAAAATGCTAATATCATAATACCACTTGATCTGCTGCAATTTCTGTTTGTAAAATTAAATTTTTAATTTGATCTGTTAAATATTGTTTTTCATTAAATAGAATAGGACATGAAAATTCTGTATTTGATAATGTATTATTATTATTATTATTATTAAACATAGATATATGTAATTGACGTAGACGTGGTGAAGAGAAATGTGCTTTACATGATTTAATAGATTCATGACATGTATTATCATTACCATCATTATTAGTAGTATTAATTGTAGTAATATCTTGTCCTAATTTTTCAGCACGTGGACATTTTAAAACATTTTGAAGAAAATCATCTTGATGAAGTGTACGTAAATGTCCAATTAAATCAATTCGTCCACCTGAACCAAAGAAAACTCGACCACATGCTTGACAACCAAGTTGTTCAATATCGTTATCAGGATTTAAATGTTCCTAAAAATGTAAAATTTGTAAATATTCAAACTATTGTAATTTATTTTTAATAAGAAAAATAAGTCCAGTATAGTCTATACTTAGAAATAGAGACAATTCACGATGGTAACATATGAAGCTCAAGATGATGAAAGGTGAAAATACATCTATACCTATAAACTATGACACCTAACGTCTTCCACTTATGAGCATAACTCAGACCAACAGTCAATGAACTCAAAAACTGATGCTACGCCTCGGTTTATTCACTCCCATCTTTCTCTCAATCTACTCGTACACCAACCAATATCCCAAGTCGAGGTATGTGGTACTTTGGGAATACATTTCTCGACTAGCAAACTTGATGAACACCTTACAAACCAGAACCTTCAGTATACACGTTTCTTCTACTTTAATGAACCATGTTTCAGTCATAAAATGGAACACCTACGTCACAAGTAATGCAAACTGGCAACAGGTTTTCACATCTAATCACTCATGTCATGTTCATGAAATACCTAATAGTTTATTAATTCTTGATTTCCAAATAAATATACATCAGAAGGGGTTTTGTGGATATTATAGTAATTTTAATAGTTATTTGAAGCTAGACCACCATGGAAAACCAGGAAGAGCTGGAGTTTTAGTGAGGAGCAGTGACTAGTAGAGTTCAACCGGGTCTGTTGTGAGATAGTAATTCACTGATGACAATGGTGGATGTGTCGCTCAATTTCGTGGACCAGTTGAAGTTGAACAATAACACTGTCGGATGCCGAACGGTTCAGTGGTATAGAGACTAAACGTTCACACGCGAGACTGATAGGTCCTAGGTTGGAATCTCGCGAGTTGGGATCGTGAATGCATATTGCTGAGGACTTCCACAATAGGACGAAATGGCTGTTCAGTGCTTCCAAGTTTTCTATGGTGGTCTAGCTTCAATTGACTTATGATCTCAACTATTAAAATATACATCAATTTATTTTGATTACAAATCATTCATTGATAATGATAATAATAATAACTTACTAATTCCAAATGAAGATGTAATTCTTTTAAATTATCCACTTCAATATGACAATATCGACAAGAAGCTGGAGCAGATTTACCATCAATTGAGCTTAACATACGTTCAAATTCACTACTATTAGTATCTTGTAATAATACATCATTTAATGATGATCGATTGGGATGATTATTATTATTAGCAGTGAGAATTTCTGATTCACCACCAATAATAGATAATTTATGTTTAACTTTAGGCTTACTAATTTTCGATTGAGTTCGTGAACGATTTACTGTAGTAGTCGCAGTAGTATCTCGACGGCGAGTAGTTTTTAATGAAGTCTTTTTTTGAACTGAAAGATTAGTAGCTTTGGTTTTGCTAATTTTCGGCGGTTTTGAAGATACTTCTAAATCTATGATAATAAATAATAAGAGTATGTGATATACAGAAATAGTACATCTCAATGATGTTATTACGCGATTATTTTTTGAGAACAAATAGAATCTAGATAAATTAACCTTATTTAACTTCATGATGGAGTTTGCTTACAATGACAATACTTACTTACGCCTGTTACTCCTCGTCGACAAGCATAGACTGCCCACTAACACTCTCCCTCCAACCCTGTTCTGAGCAATTCTTTCCAGTTGTTATTCATCCTTTTCGTATTTGATTCTATTTCCCGATGTAATGTGTTCTTTGACCTTCCACTTTTCAGTTTCCCTTCAGGATTCCAGGTTAGGGTTTGCCTCGTGATGCAGTTTGATGATTTCATCAATGTATGTCCTATCCATTTCCACCGTCTTTTCCTAATTTCCTCTTCAACTGGAAGTTGGTTTGTTCTCTCCCATAGTAGGTTGTTACCGATAGTATCCAGCTAATGATGTTGAGTATCTTGCGTAGATAACTATTTATAAATATTTGTACCTTCTCTAACTTTCAGCTCTGTAAAATATAATTAACTGGCTTGACGTTCACATTGGAGATTGGAACTTTGATATTGGTTAAAAATTGTTTGAGTTTCATGTGTTCTTCAGCTGAAGGAAGGCTATCCGTGCTTTCCACTCTTCGCCTTTTCGTTTGCATCTGATCCCCCTTGTTCATCGATGATGCCTCCCAGACACGTGAAAGTTTCCACATCTTCCAGGGTTTCTCGACCGCGTGTGATTGTGTTGGTGTTCTCCGTGTTGTATTTGAGGGTCTTGCTTTTTCCTTTGTGTATTCTGAGGCCTACTAGGAAGCTGCTGCTACACGAGTTGTCTTCATCTGCATTCGTTCGTGTGTAGGGGATAGGAGGGCTAGGTCATCTGCGAAGTCATAATCGTCTAATTGGTTCTGAGCTGTCAATTGCATTCCGTGTTTTCCCTCAGAAGTCGAGGTCTTCATAATCTAGTCAACCACCAGAAGAAAGAGGTAAGGGAAGAGTAGACAATACGATAAGCTATATTGACTGGAATACTTGTTTCTTGAAGTCCTATCGTTAACTGTGGATTAGATCAATTCAAAGGTACTACATACCAGGCTTGGAATTAAAGTCTTACTGTTAATTATAGTGAATTGAGATAGGAACAAGATTTTTTATACACATAATATTTTCAAATTTGTTACGGAAGGATTAGTAAGTCGAGCAAAGTTCATACACAACATCTTGTGCTCGACGAGTGTTCATCAGTACCGGTCGTTAGATTTGAAAGTTACGAAACAGTTGGGAGATCGATTTCATATGGTTGTTTCTTTGTCTCTATGATTACCTATTCAAAACAAAACCAGCCATGTTTCAGGAAATTGAAACTTCCTGTGAATTACGGTTGTTGTTCTGCTGTTAAAATGACATAGTTTATGGGAATGTAGCAAATAAATTCCGGGGAACAGATCGAAAGACAACAAAAGTCAACATACTGAGGCGTTTACTTGTTGCGGAGAGAAATGTTAATTTAATATCGTTAATGTTAAAAATTTCCCCAAGATGGAAGATAACAAAAATTAAATTATTATTATTTATTTGAACACGTAAATATTGGTAAAAAGGGGTACAGAATACATATGAGCCACACAAGTGACCTGATTTGTGTGTGGGCTGTGATACTACCCGGGTGCCCAGACTGAAGCAGGTGGTATTCTAGGGGGCCCACGTGCACCATTGGTTTGGAATCACGGTCTTCAACCCCCTAGGTGGACTCTCCGTGTCCACCAACGTAGTTAAAGCGTCGGACATTCGCTTACGTCATCTCAATTTCTTAAAGAACACCCTTGATGCGAGAAGGCAGTGAGTAGGTCTTCCCTGGCAGAGGCTATATATGCGTGGCCATGTGAGAGAATTTCGAGGAGAGCTGACTCTTCTCACCCTCGTCCGTACCAGGGCATTTGGGGCTTTATTCTCCAGGATGGAAGATAACAAAAACTAAATACCTTTATTGTTGGGTGGTTGAAAGAAACCTTGGACCTAAGTTCTATGCTAATTGGGTATGGAAACCTGAACTGTTGTATACATGTGCCAGGTTCTACGCTATGTACGAGTGAATGACTGACTGACTTACTCATCAAAAACGGATACCTCCAACCACCTAGCACGTAAACAAAGTACATACAATCTGAAGTCACTTAGACTAGTTAGTCAAACGCAAAATAGAACCTGGTAAGTATGTACATCTGTTCAAGTTGCCATACCCTATAATTACGGCAAGATAAACTTATTAAGGCAAATCACAGAGTGGTAGAGTTAGTAACAATATTAGCGGTAGTATATAAGATTAGGTATCGAAGACTTAAACTAATGGGCAGATTTAAACCTGATCAGTCGAACACAATCAACACTAAAGGACCCAAACAAATGTGATATCTTCTCACTACTCATTGATCGATCGATCAATTGCAAATTTTATAAGTGTTCAAAATGTTTTCACCGACGTTTTTTAGAAGATGGATCTTCACATTGTGAAGCATCGACAAAAATCAATATAACAATCATCATAGAGATTTACAGCATTAAATCTCTAGTTTAACTTGTTAATTTATTTAATAGAGAAACATTTTCTCAATTTTACTATTATTATTATTATTATCCAATATTGTTTATCACCAGCATGAAAATATCGATTGTTTGTCTAATATACACACAGAATATGAATTAAAACGACTATTAAATTTTGTAAACATAATCAAAATTATCATTGACTAGATATATAACAATAGGAGAGTTACTTGGAGATTTACTAACTATTAATTTTAATAGTTGAGATCATGAGTCAACTGAAGGTAGACCACCATGGAAAAATTGAAGGCACTAGACGGTCTTTTCGTCCTACTGTAGGACACTTCGGCAGTGCGCATTCACGATCCCGCCTAGTGAGATTCAAACCCAGGACCTATCGGTCTCGCGTGTGAGCACTTAACCACTAGACCACTGAGCCGGCACCCAACGGTGTTAATGTCTAACTTCAACTAATCCACGAATTTGAGCGCTTGCGCGCGGACTGATTGGTCCTGGGTTCGAATCTCGCGAGGTGGGATCGTGGATGCGCACTACTGAAGAACCCACAGTAGGACGAAATAACCTTCCAGTGCTTCCAGATTTTCCATGGTGGACTAGCTTCAACTGACTCGTGATTTCAACTATGAAATCGCTATAACATCCACAAAACCCCTTCTGTTATTTTCTATTAATTAATCATCAGTGGTAATCCTTATGTTATTAAGAATGAATTAATAGGTGGTATATTAATTATATATAACAAAAGTGAGCTAGTTAGTGGTTAACTTATGAAGTTAAAGACAGTATTGCATTACAGAATGACTGAAAATAGTATAAGCATAGACTACATGATCTCATCTATCTCAGTAGCCGGATGATATATTTCTTTATTTAAACACAAAAACATTGGTACAAGAAGGCACCAAATAGATATGCGCCACAAAAACCATTCGATTTGTGTGAGGGCTGGGATACTACCCGAGTGCCCAAACCGGACTACGCGGTTTTCTTAGGGGACCACATCCGAAGCCTTCGACCTAAAGGTCTGAACCATAAGGCAGTGGAACAACGTCAGGAAATGCAGTCTCATAGTAACTGGTGACCAACAATTGGTTCGTACGCTATTTGTGGCTTCAAGATACTGGAGCCCATGTGCACTACTAGTGAACTCTCCGTGTCAACCAACCCTGTCTAAGCCCCTGCCGGACATTCGCTTTTCGTCCTCTCAATTTCGTAAACACCCGTGGTACGAGAAGGCAATGAGTAGGACTTCCCTGATAGTGGTTGTATGCGCGTGGCCATGTGAGAGCATTTGGAGAGAGAGAGAGCCGACATTCCCCACTCTCAGCCGTACCAGAGCATTTAAGGACCATAATGTTTGCTATAAGATCTACAGGTTTTGAGATTATGTGTATCTATTGTTGAGATGTCTCGAACTACGAGAAAGTAATAGTATAATAGTGCTTCTTAATTTTAAGTTCCCTAACGAACGCTAGTTTCCAGTGAAATCTCCGAAATAGACTTCCTTACGTGAGTTAATCTGATTTATAAGTAACAAGTTGGTGTCTAACTAATATCATAACAGTCAATTAGTTATAAGCCACGTACAACTGACGCAAATATGCATTGGTTCAAACTTCCGCACTCGATTAACACAAAAGAGTGAATGGTGAAATAGTAGAAGTGGTGATATCAGTGACAGTGAAAAGAAACGTTAGGCATAGAGAACATCATTCATGAAAAGTGAATTTGCAGAATAAAATTGACCAAACAATTTCGAACGTGAAGATTTAAAATTAGATAAAGAGTAAATGAATCTGTGTTACTACAACGAATACCGAATCACTTCGAAATTCTAGTTGCGGTCGTCGCACGGACAAGGCAATCTGCATCTAGGAACATCGCTCAAATCGATAGTCGACGACTTTATGAACTGAGCTTGATCACCCCTAACGCTCTTCCAACGTACTCCTACGCCAGCCAACATTGCACGTAGAAGTAGGTGGTTACGGATATGTAACATATGTTCTGATCATTCGACTGATGAGGATTCATAGTCCCATCAACCGATTTGCCTAGTACCCATTCGTAATCCCGATATTATTCATTTGTAGCAGTAGTAGTAGTAGTGGTTGGGTCTTCTTTGAAGGATACGTTCATGTTCAGTTGCAATACTAGTGTCATGCTCAACTACAACAACACCTGGAATAAACGGTTTTAGAAAGATGACCAGTCGCGCGAGCATTTGTGTGGTTGAAATAACCGACTGCTAACCATGCCCGAAAATCGAAGTTACTATTTTTAACCATCTGTCAATTGAGAATGGCTATGTGACATGTATTACACGTCCTTAACTACCCTTTAAATCGATGTGTAAAACGACTGACTGACCAACTTCCTGACTTCAGTCCGAATAATAATCCTGATTGAAGGGGAAAAGAGATTAACCAATATAATTCAAAATCGGTGACACTTGATCACTTCTTTTAAAGTCCTATTCTTCATTACTTAATCATTTTCCACAATCACAGAACCTACTTATATTTCGACTTTTACGCTATAAATTCCGTTCATTTTATTTTATTCTGCTGATGTATACAATGTAACAGGTTGGACCATGATTCATCCTGACTGATTTTTGATTAACCGATCAACAGAATAAACATTTACAGTCTAAAGAAGCAAGTCCGTTATACAAATTTGCATAAAGACAACACATTATGACTACGATATTACTAAAGGAATAATAATAATAACGTACCTTCAACTGGATGAGAATCATTAGATGTAAGTGTTACATTTTGTTGTAATTTCTTATGTACTCGATTAATGTGAAGTTTTAATACAAGTGAATCTTGAAAAGCTACAAGATGACATTCTGGACATTCAATTGGTTCACATTCCAAAAGATCTGATGGACCATAACGAACTGTATCAAAGTCAGAATCATGTTGAAGTGCAGCATGTCGACGTAGGGCAATGTAAAGAGGATAGGCCATTCCGCAAATCTATAATTGAACAAAAAGTATTTATGTTAATTGAGAGTAATGTATAAACATATACGAGATGCGAAATAAATTCATAGGATATATATATATATTCGAAAACAACTTAATCATTCAGAGAACTCAAGAAGAAATCTTGGTGACACTATAATTTATGGACGACTGTTGAGCGACGATAGACTGACCTTGAGAGTGTCCACATAGTAAATAGGACCAAATGAGGGTTGTGAACCCGTGTGAGGAATCAGAATTATGAATTACAGTTGATGGTTAAGGTTAGAAATTAGATTGAGGGTTTTCATCACGAACTGATATCAGCTATAATACCAAAACTTTATTTATCCAAATAAATAAGTGAATTCCGCTCGTAGCGAGGGTGTTGTTAACGAAATTGAGAAGACGAAAAGCGAATGCCCGACGCTTTAACAAGGTTGGTGGACACGGAGAGTTCACCCAGGGGAGTTGGAAAACCCTCATTCTAAACCAATGGTACACATGGGCTCCAGTATTCTGAAGGAACAGATGACGTATGAACCAATCGTTGGTCACCGGCTAACACGGGACTGTATCAGCTGATGTTTCTCCACAGCCTTGTGGATCAGACCTTTAGCTCACACACAAATCAAGTGACTTGTGTGACGCATATCTATTTGGTGCCTCCTTGTACCAATGTTTATGTGTTTAAATAAATAAACTAATCTCAAGACCGCAAAAACGGGACGTCAGTTGTTGCATACTGAGTTTCTAAAGGATTTAAAAAGCTTGGATTATTAAGTCAATGATACAAATTAGCTCTATTATCCTACTAAATCAAATGGTGTATAAATAGTGTGTATGTAGTATGTATTTTCTGATGTTGCTCTACGTCCCGTAGAGTTTTCAGAAGCTGATAGATGGTTCAGTATAGTGAAAAACGACATTAACGTAAAACCTGGACACTTAAAACTATCAGAAACGTTAATCTGAATACTTGAAGATAAAAAATGACAAGGACTTTTCTGAGAAGTAGAGGATAGAAATACAACATTTAAGAAAAGACAAAAGTACGCAATTCTACGGTAGATTCGTCATTTATCCCTTCACAGATGAGATATGGATTTTACAAAGGAATAATAGCCACTAGATAAATCAGATTGAAAGCACTGGTAAACAGATATGACAATGAATACGTAGAATGAATGTTCAACAGTACTAGTACACACAGGAAAGAATATGATTTAAAAAACCACATAAAGAAGCGTAGGAAAAGAAAGTAATCTTCCGAAAATAAAAACAGATGAAGATTGTAGTGAATTTATTAGGTTGTCTAGTATTTATCCATCTGTTGTTGGCAAGTAAATACAGTATACCTTGAAAACAACAAAATTCGATCAGCATTAAGGAGAAATTGACATTGATGACAATGGCTAATACTCGGTGATCAACCAATCGTAAATACATCTCAATTCTACAAAAGATCAGTCACGGCCGAATAACTCAGTGGTAACATCTCTGACTGTGATGATGGGTGATACAAGATCAAATCCGTAGAGAACATTAGTTCCCTCAATATTACAGATACACCTTGCTGAGGTGCGTCAGATAGAACGAAATCTAGGTTATCTAAGGTACCCTGTCGACCATCACCTTAAGTATCAACAAGATGCGCGCGATATTGAGTCAATACAACTTGATCAATAGAATGCAATCAGCACTAGTTGTTTGACATACATGACACTGGTTATTAATCAATTGTAAATAGAAACCTAATGAAGTGTTATTATTATTTCAGATGTTAATCAATACAGTTTCGTTGGATAATTTAGTTAAAAATTATCACAAAAATGGTTACCAGACAAATTTGCATAGTTAGTGAAGTAAGAAGTTTCATTTAATATAAGTAATTAAGTTTATATGTGAACAATTATGGGCATATATAACAAAATAAATTACAAACCTGACAGGGGAAAACAAGTTCACCATTATGTGAAGATTGTAAATGTTCATCACGTTCACGTAAACTAGACAATGCATTATCACCACATAATGGACATACAAATAAACGACCAACAGTAGGTTTTTTCTTTATTTGACCAGTAGTAGTAGTACGTGATGATGGAGGCGGAGGTGGAATAGTCAATGGAATATCAAAAATGTTTCTTTTTGTTGAAAATCTGACTTTTCTAAAACAGTATCTAGTTTAGATTTTGTTTAATTGATAATTTATTATTATTATTATCTGTAGAGAGACGATTAATTTTACTGCTCATAGTATTTGATGTTTTATCAACATTATCCGTTGCCTATTGTAAATAAGATCAAAATTAAAGTTATCAAAAGAGTAATAAACAAAAGATATTATGTGTATGTAATGATAAATGACAATTTAAGTTAAATGAACTCATTTAACAGGTACTTGAATATGAGGCACGCTTGAAGTAATAGGGCTAGTGATACTACCTGGTTGTCTAAAGCGAAGTAGATAGAGTGAAATTCGAGTCTATGACTATAGTGGTTGTTAAGTAATAAACCACCTACTTCACAAATGAATGATCAGCATTTATTACACTTTAGATGAAAAAAAGGTCTCATAAGTTCAAGTCTATGACAATCTTTACACATTAGATACTAGATTTTCTAGTTACTGAGATTAGATTTGGTTAAAATATAGTCAGGATCTCTTAATTTTGTTCAAGACATAGATTCTAACTAATATTTTAAATGATAGTAAAGAAACAAGTTAACATAATTCAATAACCACATTCTAACTCATGATATTACTTATGCCTAACTATCATCGACCTCGATGTATGACGATTCCTGGTGTAGAAGTAGGTTAATAGAAAGCTAGGGGAAATAAACTAAGACAATAGTCTATGCAGTCGCTGACTTTAAATCATGTTGCTATACTATATCAGAAGTTAGTCACACCGTAGAACCTGTACGTATTTACACCAATTCAAGTTGCCATACCCCATTAGCATACCGAGATGAAGTTGTCAGGTCGAGATAGTAATAGTATCAAAGGTAATAGAAAGATTAGAGATCGAATACACGGATCGAAGAAAAAACATAAATTAGTGAAAACAAAGTTTACAAAGAGTTTAAGATTTGGGAAGAGACAAAGAGTGGCTGCACACGCGCCATTGCAAACGATCCAAAGTCTCTAACTATTCCACATCAACACAAGATGAAATTAATGAGATAGATAATGAGTTTGAATAATGTAGTGGCGATGATAATAAGAAAGAATGAACATTGATAATATGGTACGAGAAGACAATATACAGGGTATGTATGGAGGAATACTGCAGAACTATACTTCTAAAGGAATAACGAACGAATGCAATATTGTGAATCTCACCTCCATCACAACCTTGCCCTCAAATGCCCTGGTACGGTCGAAAGTGGGGAGAGTCAATTATCCCTCTAGAAATGCTCTCACATGGCCACGCATATATAGCCTCTGCCAGGGAAGTCCTACTCACTGCCTTCTTGCACCACGGATGTTCTTTATGAAATTGACAGGACGAAAAGCGAATGCCCGACGCTTTAACTAGGTTGGTGGATACGAAGGGTCCACCTGGGCAAGTCGGGAAGCCCTTATTCCTAACAAATGATGCACATGGACTCCAGGATCCCAAGGAAACAAGTAGCGTACGAATCAATCGTTGATCATCGGGTACCATGAGAATGCATCTCCTTACGATGCTCCACTGACTTGTGGATAAGACCTTCAGATCAAAGGCTCTGGGTATGGTTCCCTAAGAAAACCACCTGCTTCGGTTTGGCACCCGGGCAGTATTACAGCCCTCACACAAACCAAATGAGATTTGTGTGGCGCATATGTATCTGGTGCCCCCTTGTACCAGTATTTGTGCCCAAATAAATAAATAAATAATAATAATTTTTATAATAGGAGAAATCAAACATCTTGAATGTAATCATGAGGTATTCCGGAATCTTGTAATCCTTAAAAATAAGTAATTACTACAAACTAATAGAACATGGTATCACATAGTTTTATGAATTCCGTTCATTTTTTGCGTTATTTAAATAAATTGAATAATAGCTAAGAAAGTTTATTTAGGCATGAGGCCCTACTTGCTTCGAGATGCTCTTTATAATAATATTAAGGATGGAAGAAGTCTAGTGATATGGAGGCACATTTAAAATAATATATCGAAATAATAAAGAAGCCTTGTAGCTTAGAAGGATACTTTCGGTGGAGCTGAGTTCCCTGGGCTGTATGGTTTAATTACGAGGCATTTATTGGCATTCTGAACATCTTAAGTAATTACTTCCCTTCTAAATGAAGTAGACGTTGATATTACTCAGAATGACACTAAAAGCTACATAATTAAACCATCTAGCTTACAGAACTCAACACCACCAAAATGATAATATTCATGGAGCAAACAAGGATTGTATTGAATATTCACTAGACAGGTACATATACGAAGAGTATTTGGCTTCAGGTCACATTGTAAATGTGTCAGCTTGTTGTACTACACATTTCCCCAGAGCAGGGTTCGAACCTATGGCTTAGTAACTGAGAGTTGGACTACATAACCATTAAACCATCACTCCATTCAGTATATATAACATGTGGGAACTTTAATTTACAAATATCATGAAGTGTTTAGTTTTGACTAGTAATAAAAACAGATTTTATGAAAGAGGAACTCACGCGAGATGCAGTGTTACCAGAATAACGATGAAAACGAAATGGACTATTACTTAATCCAGAATTACCGGTAAATCCTCGTACGTGTGGAAAAGATTGGGCAAAAGTAGTACTAATCAACTCTGATTCTTGTAAAACTTTATACTTTTCTAATGCAGACATACAAGTTTCTTCGATAAACGCGTTAAATGTACTTGACCACCACTGAATGAACATCGATTCATATGAGCTTCTAAAGAGGTAGGTGGTTGTGCTGCATTATTAGCACGCAAAACAAACGTGCACCATCCACATCCTAAACAAGTAACAACTCGATGAGGAAGTTGATTTTCTCGCAAATGTGCTAGAGAAGCTACAAATTAAAAATAAGAATGAAATGAATTGTGTTCTATAAAAATTTTTGTTACTAAGAGTAAACATTTACCCAGTGAAAACTATTCAATCGTAAAAACGTTTAGTCAGATAGGCGTAGAGTGATACATATAGATACTCATATTATGTTGTTGGGTATGATACCATTGCTGTAGACACGAACATCTGATAGTAACAAATACGCTAGATACCTTATAAGGAATGTGTATAGTAAGATAATCAGCCGGAAAACTTTCTGACAGGAATAGTACTAGTGCAACCATAACGAAACGTATCAGTAACTCTAGAAATTAAGAACACTTGTAGAGTAAAGGTTGGACGTGAATACCTTCTGTCGACAACACATTCGTCAGAGTCGAAAAGAGCTGGAAAACACCTACATCTCATTAACGTCTTCCATGACATAAAAACTCAATGCAAAACGAGTCAAACAACAAACTACAATTCTTCGATGTACTGACCACCAGAACCGACACAGAAAAACTGGAGACTCAAATATATCGGATACCGACAAAGCTTATAACCAAAAACTAGTAATTTCGCAGATCCCACTGAGATGTCTGACTCAGCTTATTCTAACGACTTCACTAATCAATGAGGTGTTTTGATCTAATATTTCGTGGTATGTATCGCAGTAAACACTTTTGTGCTTTACCCTACATGGTCGAGAGATGACATAATTCTATAAAGTATATTTGAGTCCCCAAAATAAATGAGCAAAGGCTAGGAACATAAGATCTCCAGAAATAAAATCCCCTGTAAGACTTATCGTAAAAGAAAAGTTGTGTGGTATATTTTTTAATGCACCACGAAAGCCATGAAAAGACTGAGTGAACAGAAAACACTGACAACTGTACACAGAAAAATCGAGTGAAACTAAAATTAAAACATTTTCTACGACTTTTTATCCTAATAATTATGAAGGCAAGAACTAACGCAATTCCTTGCAAATACAGGACGATTCTAGAGCTTGTTTTATACTAGGTTAGCCCTAGCATCAGTAGAACTATAAGATTTATTAGTTCAAATTTATTAATAGTTGGTCATCCAGTTTACTTTATAAACAGCCATATTTACTATAAGCAGTACAGCATTACTAATGACAAATTTGCTATATGTATTCTATGCTTAGTGCAATATGAAGTTCTTGGTATACGTTCTACCTAATTTACCAGGTAAAATTCATGTACTTGGCTTTATCTAATAAACATATCAATGATAAATACTTCCTAATGATTTATAAGAAAGTCATCATACGGTCAGTAACAACGAAGATTAGTGAAACGAAAAGTGAACATTACCATGAGATAGTTATACAGAAATCAAATAGGTATTTATTAGAAATATCACTTTACCTGGTGATGGCCTCCAAGGTATTTTATGAACGTTGATGATATGAGATACCAAATCTTCAATTTTGCACGAATGAATTAAATCCAAACAATAGCTGCACATATAAGACTTGATTTCTGGATGAAATCTATGTACATGTGTATTGAATGAATGGATATGAAAAGGAGCATCATTTGACTGATTAATTACACGAGGACAAAAAGGGCAACCAGGTAGTTGTTCACAAATTTCATCATCTTTCTTGCAATTTTGAAGGTGTTCCGAAAGATGAAACCCAGATTCATACGATTTGCCACATTCCCAACATTGCCACAGAATACCCTCCGTATGTTGACGTTTAGCTGGGACCATGGGGTTCTTATCCATATGAGAGTCAACAGATGGTATTTTCAATTTGTTAGGTGATTTTAATATTGAATAGAGTTTGCTACATGTAGACATTGCCAAAATATACTAAAAAGATGCGGAGGAGTATAATCAAACAACGTATAATCATGACCGTTCAGGACTTGTCAGATAAGCGTTAACATTCATACGGTATTGGTCAGATGTCATAAAATGGCAAAATTGTATTGATTTCTATCTAAAACAGAACTATTAGAGTGGACATAACTAGTCCAACATCCAATGCTGTGAATCAATATCCAATGCTCATAATGTTTATTCGTTGACGTTTTTCCCTTTTTTTCGTAGACAGCCCATAACGTAAACATCAGTACTACCATAAATGATGTTGAGTGACAAAATACTCAAGTAAATTTGATAATTTATCGACATGTAAATTGATGTGATTCGAGGAGTAATGATAAACTTCCAGTATACAACCATTAAAGTAACCCTCTGATACTGAGTGAGTGAGAAACAAACTCAAGAGTCGAAAACAATAAATCAAACATCATGTATTTCAGAATTTTAGAAAACATAGTTTTACTGCTGCATTAAAGAGTCAGAATAATTGGTGAAGACCAGGGATCTCAAAATAAACGCATGTTATTTAACTGATACTTCTCCAGCTTTTCACCTCCCGAATTCCAAACATTCTACAGAACAAAGCTTCTGGAATGACCAATGCGTTTGTAGCGGTAAATACATCTACAAAATAAACAGTCCTGTAAGTCTTCAACATTGATGCTGACCGAATTAGTTTAACTGGATATGACCTAGCCTAAGGCGCTAGGTCATGCATTCCTACTAGGTCACAAGTGGGTATGTCGTACTCCACATCCTTTGCAACCACTAACCAGCTTAGATCACACACCCTTCAACATATCGAATGCTTTCCAATTACGCCTTCGAACTTATCTCTGACTTCTTATTTGACTGGGCCGATATACTTTGATTATAACAGTGTGACATAAAATCATTGTCAAACCCTGAATATCTGCAACGTCTTTGGTGGTGTGCTAGGCATGATCTGTTACACCGAACGACAATCTAAGTCTGTTCCTAGTCGCAACATTATATATCATTTTTTCATTCTTGTTTATCGTGATATTATTTTCGTATCCTATCATTTTCCATTAGTTTATTTAAAATACATATTGACGGAATAGATACCCAAACATGTGATTATTAAGACTATTACACCCCTCATACTTTTCCGGCCTGATTATATCGAAGCCTGATTTCCACAAGAATGGCGTGATAGACACATGCGCAATTCCTCTCAGCAGTGAAGGTGCCGCCACGCGATCTCGATAGGTACGCTACTCTTGGTATGTTTACTTGTGATTTTTTTCAACTTCATCATACTTTATCGGACCCTTTATCGGACTCCAGTTAGATCGTTTACTGATTGCTATCGAAAGATATATCCCAACTTCCATCTTATATCATTAACAACATAATTTGGGTTAGTGAATAACGGACTTAAATAAGCCAAATACGATGATGGATTTTGAATATGTATATTTCATGTACTCATTAATTTGAACAGACAATCGGAGAAATGAGACGAAGAGGATCAAAAAAATATAAGTGACCCTACTCGGTTTGATCAAGCGTTACTCAATGTTTATAGTTAGATCAAAAATAAGTTACAGACACGCAGTAAATAGGGAAAGCAATTAACACACATACGATCATATGAAAACAGGTTAATAAGTTCACAAGTGACATGTTCAAAATGTGGCTTGAGATAAATGAATCAGTTGATCTCTCCGGAAACTAGAATAGCCTGTGTGTTGCAGTGTATTTGTTTGCGATAATCAATGGATCACGCTGTGTTCACAAACCAGAACTGAATGTCAAAGGTCATGTTTTTAAACAATAATTTTGCAGTCACTACCGGTAATAGTACGAATTGTCAGAACTAATGAAAAATGCTTACAGTAAAAAACCTAACTTTAGAATAAGTTTTCTTTAACTATCCTTACAATACCTTACAGTAAGATATCTCTCAACGCGATCTAAACAATTGTGGCGGTAAATAAGTCCCCAAAATAAATAGCTTTGCAAGTTTTCGACATTGGATGCTGACCATATGTTTTAGTGGACTCATCTAGCTGAAAGCACTCGGTCATGCATCCGCACCAGATCACGTGTGGTAACGCTGTGCTCAACATCTACCGCAATCGCTAGCCAGATTAGATCAGAGAATAATCGCCAAATACACTCTTCCGACCTCCTCGACTCTGTCTTTCGATTTCTCTTGGTGGGTACGAATTATATTAGAAGGTGTTGCTGGTAAAAGTGTTGTCAAACACTGAATACCTGTGCCATCTCCACAAACGGTAAGGAACTCAGCTCAGAAATAGAAATGTTGCTATATATGCGTAGGTCACTAATCAACGGGCTTTTGACGATGGCTACTTCATCCAAGCTTCTACATCAGGTGTAAGCGGTTCTTGTCACACTTAATAGCAACGCTGTCGATGAACAAGCAGAATCTGCTAATCGTATTCTAAAGAACCCCAACACTTGGATTTATCCTGTCATGCAAAAGCCTCAAATGACACGAAAGGACTTAACAGATCTCTGTCATACTATCACCCTTCACCTTAATATTCATCGTGAACTCGGGCGCTCCAAGGCTCCTCGAAGAAAACTGTCACCAAATAGATCTGTTTCTAGACCGCGAGAAGCGGATAATTGTTGTAACGGGTGAACTGCTGATTTAATGCGCAGCGTATTATCGATCGAATTAATGTGACACGGAAAACACGTAATAAACGGCCTAGTGTTCTGGTTGGTCCCACTTCGCTGTCTAGCCCAGCCAGTTGAGTCCAGAACACAAGTCACAGCCTCTGAGATATGAATCATTATATTTCAGACTTACTCTATTTATATACTAATCAACCAGACCACATCGTACCATAAAATAGAAAACAACATTTGTACAATATTTGACAAGTGAAATAAATATCAACCAATAGGGAGTGTACATTTAAAGTCCAAGGCCACCATCAGACTTAACATGATAATTATTGGTATATTTTTCTGCACATCCTAACAATAATCATGACTGTTGTTGGCGCCACAACAAGTACGCTAAGTCCTCCAGAAATTACAGGAAACCCTGAAGCTCCCACAGGGCCAGGCTTTCTGTCACGACAAACTCTTAGGAAAGTTCCCTACCAGCACGCGTTAATGGCAACAGTAGCCGGTGGAAGTAGCCATCCGCTATACATTATTGATCTGGTGACGAAAAGTTCTCCATCTCGTCGACAGTAAAGCAAAAGTCGGACTTCTTCCTGCAAATACTAAAGGCCATCCACATAATCCGGTTTTCAGTTCACAGGCTCAAATAGAAAACTGACAGCCACCGTTCGTAAAATATATGTTTAACTTGATGTGGATTTGCGCTAACTCATTCTCTGGATTTTCGTCGTAGAAGACATTTCTATGCCGATCGTTGTATAGACCTGCTACGGCACTAAAATATACTAACTTAAACAAAGCAAACTTAGACGCAAATACCAAGTCGTCTATTCGTGGGAGTGTAGTGGCATTGGACAATAACCGCACAATCCACAAAGCTGAACGCGAGACTACTCAGAAAATAGATATTCAATATTTAACGCGGATAAATACCTAACGATGGAGAAGGCGCGAACAATGAATTGAATGGACTGGGTTTAATCGGATGGCATGGCTCGGCCATGCAGGCGTGGTCCATCTGAATGTTATCTTATATCTTCTATTCGTATTAAATATATTGTTCCTTCTCTAGCTTAACGTTGTTCTACATCATGCATTGGTAATTGATACGATACAGTGAGTTGGCGTAGTCGATGGTGTGACTTCCACGTAAGATCTTATAGATTAGGCAGTTATATCATGACAAATCTACAAATTTAGGATTAGGTCTATTATTAGAGCAGCACTAATATCATAGTAGACCATAGTTCTACATTGGTAAGCCCGACTAGAGAAACGCAACCTAATATTTTTAATCTTATTTCCATTCTAAATTTCTTGATCTATTTTGTATTTATGTTAATCCAATATTCTAATAGTCCTGATTAATGCTCACATGTATTATCGTAATGTTATATTGATTAGTTCTCATGACATACTAGCTCAGTCGATAATAAAAACTGGTCGTCTATATTAACTAATTAGCTTTGATGGTTCGTTAACAAGCTTTAATAGCATTTACATGCTTCAGCGACATAGACTTGTTTAAGCATCAAGCTCTAGCAAATATGACCTGTAAATAACGCAAATATACATTGACTAACAATGCAGCAAGGACTAAATTGTTACCTGGATCTAATATTCAGTGTTCCTTATCTTATCACCTCATCCTGTTTTAAACTATGCACTATCCTGTAATATCTTTTCTTCCGACCACTGCCTGCCTAATTTCATATTCTCGAGTTCCACTGCCAAACAACAAGAATGCCACTTCTCTAAAAACATACGGTGAGTTTCAGCCATAAGTTTTCTGCAATCATAAGGTCATTTTAGATGGCTCATTCAATGGCACACAATTATCTGGATTCATTCGGTTGTTCTGATCCGAGCGAGTGGCAAAAACCTCAACAGCATCAAGCACCCTGGAATTAATTGCCATACTGCATGTTTTATTCTGGATACTTTTGGATCATTACTACTTCTCACGAATGGCGTTATATATATCGTCCACTGAATAGTCTAATTTTCAAAAATAATCCAGGCGAGTTCAACTATTTTACTGGATGATTTTTTTGTACTTAACATGTATATGTTTTCTAGTTGCTTTTGCCATATATTTGTAAGTGTCCCTAGACTAAATGCAGTAACTTTTTATGGATTAGTTTATCATATTAGCAGCCTAAAATGCGAACATAGTTTAAATAATAAGATTAAAAATTTAGGTACTATCAACTGCACTAGTAAATAACTAAATCCTCAGGTAGCTGTTTGCTAAACAAACGTTTAAAATCAAAACTCAGCCTACTAAAATTAACACTAAACGAATATTTCTGAATTGAAATTTATAATATAATTAGGCGTCT